GGAGGGGGGGAGGAGTCCGTGTTTAGTACCAATTATACGATAAAAAAACTCTGCCGCTGTTGATTTGTTCAACGTTTTGGGCAGTCACTCTCGGTGTTCGCAATCAGCAAGTTAACATTTAGAACAGACAAATGTTTTCCCCCGCCGACATCCTTCTCACTTCTCTCACGCCTTTCGTCTCCGCGTTTTTTAAGTTCCTTTCTTCGACGGATGCGCACTTGAGAGTGAAACTGTCCGGAACTATTTAATGCGACCGGAATGAAATGTGGCCGAGGTTTGGGTGAAGGACGGCATGCACCGCAGGGAACGTATGCGGACCCCGACTGCGTGTGCGTGCGTGTGTGTGTGTGGACACTGGTGCGTTAACAGCGGGTACCACCTTGGTTCGTGGATGTCACTTTGTCCAGAGATAACATTTTTCTGTCCTCAGTATATCCCTGATGTGTTTTTTCCTGTTTGGATAAAATCATGGTTACGGCGCGTCCATGGCTTACTTTTATTTTTTTTCGGAAAATATTTCATCTATCCAGAACAGAGGAGTGGGTAAGAGGGGACGGTGAAATGGGGGTGCATTAATTTGCCGCGTGTTCTATCTGCTAGTGTTGCGCAACGTTCGGAATGTCCAATCATCTTTCATGCATAGATATTTTGTACACTTCGTAATTAATGATTTGCAATCGATCGATAACTGCAATTAGTATAGTTATATAGTTAATCACACTTTTACCGATTTTCGTCGTTTGTCATTAGTCCGATCGAACAGAAACTCTCATTTATCCAGAGCGGGTCACAATTGTACAATGGATTCTCATGAAAGAAAAATTGGTTAATTAAAGTGCTGAAATTGGACGGAATGAAGAACGTTAGGTGACGGTGATGAGCTTTGAGTATCTTGGTGTTCGAGGCGTTGAATCAGTAACCCGACCGCACACATGATGAGCCTTCATTGGTCAGCTGAATGATTGATTACTCGATCACAATTCACACGTTATCTTGATCGTTCATCCTCTTCCCCACTTTCTACGTTAGGCGTACTGCACGATCCCATTCTGTCCCCGTTTTTCTTTTCCCCTAATATTTCACCAATGCCTAATTTCGGAAATTCCCTGCTTATCAAGTACGCGAGCAATGCTGTGCTCGGAATTGCCCACTCAGATGCATCTATCGCCTCCACCCTTCAACTTGGCCGTACCAACCTAGCTGAGTGGTCCACCGCACATAACTTGACTGTTAATCCCTCTAAATGCCTAGACATGGTGTTCTCACTTCCCATAGTGAACTGTTATGCAGATCTCTTTGAATCCTGTCCCGCGTTAAACATTACCTGATGATGCCATGATTCGACCCCTCAATGGTAGGTATCTCGGTGTGTTAATCAGCCGAAAATTATGCTGGTCTGACCAAGTTATCTTTGTATTTGGAAATTTCAGGAAGTTTTCATTTTAGGTCCTACGCTTGAAAGAACTATTAGTCCCTCGCTTCTTGATTTAACGTTTCTTTTTTGCTTGTATATTTGCTCGCATAGCCGCCTATTGGTCTTCTGTGGTACCTTGTCTTGTCCCATTTCTTGTTAACCCCGAACGCACCGCTTTTGAGCTACACTCTCATATATGATAAACTGTGTTTTGTCCTTGATTTCCAACTCTAGTGAAATTTTGCTTGACTTTTAGCTCTACTCTGACTAGTTGGCTACTGAATATTCGCCCTCTCGGCTGCATAAAGCAAATACTTGAATTGACGGTCAAAAAAATAATACAGTTCTGATTCAATTATTGAAAAGTTGTGAAACGAAATCATAGTGACTTTGGTAAGGGAGGGGGTGGGGAGAGATGCATGAATATGAACATTAGTGTCGAATACAGTAGAGTGGAAAGTGTCAGTGACGAGTTACCAATCCCATCGGTGTACTGAGCAGCCATCCTGTTGTTTGTGTATTTTTGAACTTTCATGAACACCGAGGCAAAATCTCAGAGTAATGGTAGTGGAAACAAATTTGAATTCGGAATGTGAAAATTGTACCTATTGCCACTAGTGCGGCTGACCGATCGATCGACTGGTTCAAATCAACTGAGTTATGGCCACCTGAACGGGAGTGCTATACACGTGACACCGTTAGTTTGGTTTGTTGTATTGCCCCCTGCTTATAAACCCTATTGTCATTGTGATTTTTTTTGCGGTTTCACATTCTTAAGTGGTGCATCAATGAGAACGTGAGGTCGCTCATTCACCCTATCTCCTACACTCACCTGCACCCTCCCTGTTCTTCCCAAATCTTCGTTCCGTATACAGAGCTGCCGGTGCAATTGGTAGTCGTCTAACTGGTGCCGGCTGGGGCGGATGCACGGTGTCGATGGTGCCCAAGGATTTGGGCCACAAATTCATTGAACACGTCTGTCGCGAGTACTACGAACCGCGAGGAATTAAGAATGCCTCGGAAGGATTGATTTTTATCAGCAATCCTGGTGATCCTGCTGGTCTGATGATGATGAAATAGTAGTCCTGATTGTGTCAAACTCGATCAAAGCTTAATTTTTATGTTATACTTTTGTCGTCTACTTCGATTGTTTTGGATTTTGTCACCTCCATTAATAGCAAAACGTTTTGATGTGTATTTATTTTGATTTTTTTCTAATGCAACTCGCATCCTTTGTTATATCTGTTCTAAAATACAATATCTTTACCATTATTATTATTATTATTATTATTATTATTATTATTATTATTATTATTATTATTATTATTATTATTATTATTATNGTTGAAAAGGGAATTTGTAGGATCATTATGGACCTTTATGACTGCTTTTCAAGTTTGTTGACCATGATATGAGTAAGCTTAGCCTGTTAGAACAAATGTTTCACAAGTTCATCCCATTGTTTAAACCTGTGCTCAAAATCACCACGACGGAATTTGACGATCTGGTTTTCGTCATCGGTTGTCCATAAAAAACCCTCCAAACGCGCTGAATCAGTGTGATTGGTTCTTATGCCATTGTTACCCCTGCACACTCACTGTCATTCATCGTCCTGTATTGGTGCACAATTTGACAACATTATGTCACATAAGTGGATCACAAAGCCCTCGCGTTTCACATTACAGTGCCAAATCACGTATCTCATATCTGTTTCTTGCTCGCTCACCACCCGCCAGTTCGCCTGACTGATGGATGATCCATGTGTGACCCCATCACGGTGTCAATCGGACAACTCATCACGTCCGGTATTACGTTACAAAAATCGAAAACCAATGTAGCCAATGTGGTTCTTCTAATATGCCTGATTGTCGATATCGGTGTCACTGCCCTCGTCACTCCTCGTCATAATATTCCCCCCACCCCCCGCACACACATGCAAGCAAGCAAGCAAATTGGGGACATTGGATCGAGTGGACCAGGATGGAATATTTTGACTGACATTCGGATTTTTGATGCCTATCCATTTTCCGACGGGAATGGGAGTGGGGCGGAGGGGGGGGGGGCGTTAAACTAAGTCAGAATAAACATATTCACCGAGTGGTTCGAACTTGAATCCAGACAGATAAACAGACCACTCGTTTGGTCCGAATTAAAGACTGGAATGCGAATTGTTCCATCATTCCTCTGAGTTTTGGGGTTGAATTTTAGATCTGTGGAGAATATTCCTAACAGAGAACTTGTGTTTGTAAAACTCCATTCAGGTGTTTACTGTTGCACAGACGGTGATATATGGACCGTAGATGGGAATGTGCATTGGTCGTTCAGTTGGGGGAATATTTCGATTTGATTACTTCAGATGTTAATAAATGAGCTCGTCAGAATGACCTCCGATTAGGCTAAGGCTCCCAGGAGAACAGAAATGGTTGCAGTTCCACTACTGAACCCATGTCTGTGTGTATAGAAGGAATCGATCAAAGTGCTTTAGCTTACCTGGAAGCTGAATCAGACAGATCTGTCAGGCGTGAATGACTAATTCGGATACACAAAGCGTAACAGAACGACACAGATGTGATCTACTAAACTGTAACTTACTAACTACTAACTTACTAACTACCCTGCAATTCGCTTGCAGTTGAGTTTCATATTACTCTGTGAACCGCTTGCATCTTTGCATCATCACAACTGACTCCTTAAGTAGGACGACTCAACATCCTTCCATGAACGGTGATTTGTGGCAATGTCGGTTCTGATGGAGATGTGATCGCGGTTCCAAAGCCGGAACTCCGCGAACCAGGTATGGACTTATATGTTCCCCGTCTGACTTCACTGTGTTCATCCATGTTTAAGCTATCCCCATCCATTCGCTTAAGAATCACGGGAATTTCATATGAAACGACGTCCTTCACACAATCAAACGTTAAGTGCAAGATAGAAGAAAAATATTTCATAGAAGAGCTTCTAGCTATTTGAATTTCTTAATGTGATTTAGCAGGCAGTCGAGCGGCTTGCCAGGGTGTGACAGCAGCGCAACTGAGAAGCACAAAGTTACGAAGCCCATCACTGTTTCAGATGAGGATCAAAACGCGTGTCAACACTTTTCAGGAGTTAGTTCTCCAGTTCGGTGGATACGGGCTACTCTACCCAAAATAATTTTAATTTATTTATCGGACAACGTTTCAGGTTATTTCGTTCATAACTGTACATGTGATTGAAAAGACGAGAGAATGAATGTACGATAGCAAGCTTGTTCGTGTACGGTTGGTTCAGTTTCCGAGATACATCATTGGTTTATCGAATGTGCATACTATACGGTTAGCAGTATGTGCAAGGCTAGATCAGTCTTCTGGAAGCGCGCAACACTCATCATACATATGTATCGAGTTCCAGTTTGTCAGTACATCTATGCATCTCGAATGTATATTTTGTCCGAGAGTTTCGACTTTACAACCCACGTATAGTCCGTCGATACGCGATTCTCAAAACATTCATCTCTTGTGAAAGCACGGATTTCGTCACTCCGGTTCGTTAGAAAGTTTCACTTCACTACTGAAACCGAAATCCAGTTTACCATGCCTATGAGAGAATAGATCTGAGTAAAATGTAGCTCTCATGACGGGGCTAACGATCCATTCATTGTTGATAGTGAAACGAATACGGGGGTTGTAGAGATCCCATATTGAACTAATCACTCAGTTGGGGCACGTTCGATGGCGAAGTGGATTGGGCGGTACTCATGAAAAAAGTTCAAATGCATATGCGGGCCAAAACCTGTGGCACCAGTGGCAACACAACGAATGCGAACCGGGAAGTTTGTTTGTTGTTCGAATTGATTTGCGTGGATCCAGTCAACAGCTGCGTGCGAATTTCGGAGTTTTTGCGGAATGCGTACACTGCTGTCAGTGTGCGGTTCAAGGTTTTCACATGAGTGAGTGTGCGGTGCGCACGTATATCATTAGTTCAACTTCGCCGCGCCCGTGCGAGGTCAGGTCACGGAAATCAGGTTTGCACCTCATGGAGATGAAGATTACGGTATTGCTGACAGGCGCGACGGGTGTGACATCTGACTATGGACTTGCAAAGCAGGGCATGATTTATTGGATGTGTATTTTGAGGCGTGGGTTACGATGCTGGTGTGAGAAAGGTATGTATTTTAAGAATGAGTTTTCCCGTAGTCAGTGTTTGATGGCGAATTCCGATGTTGTCTTCGAAATGTGTTGACACAGTTGATTAAACCGAAAAACAAGTATAACCCCATTGAAAAACTCCAGTTCCTCGCAGTGTCTCATTTGGCATTCAAGCAAACGACAAGTGTGAAAACGTTGGTCATCGGTCCGGATTTGTATGCCATGAGAAATCCCCGTTTGGGGTCCCATTGTGAGCTATTTGATCGTTCAATGCAATTCTCAATTCGGGCTCCGATCTTGTTCGATCTACAATGTGTTCCAAAATTTCAGGCAAAACGATGATACAACAGGAGCCATTCGTTCCATATTTTCACTAATCGGAAAATGTGAGAGTATTCGACAGCTAAGATGATAGAAACATACTATTCACTAGTACACACATACAGTTGCGAAAAAGCTATAGTGGCATCACAACTATAAATTCTTACTCATTGGTATAGTATAGACTGTTCGTTTTACTTGAGAATATCAAAGCATTCTCTCCGCACAACGTTTACCATCATTTTACAAACTGTGATGCTATTACTTTCTACTTCTGCTTTCAAGATCGTCGTTAGTTCAACAATGGGGCTATGGACTTTGTTATTTCTATATATTTGCTGCAACAACAATCGCCAACATCTGTCAGCGGTTTCGCGTTCGCGTGAGTTCGAGGCTTTTAACGAGTCACTCCAAAACGCGACGGGTGATCATATGTCTGTGTATAATGCGGCGTTATGTGTTGAAAAAAGACAATTTCAATCATCTCTGAAGTGATTAATGAAAGCGGTTTGCTTTTCCTGCTTTTCATTTATTGTTCAGAGCTATCACGTTACTCTAACCCCTGTAAACCGCTGAATCCTAATCGATCGAATGTTATGGTTTCCGATACACATCTTGCACATCTTCCTTTCTGATACCATGCTATGAGTAACGTAAGGAATCCAATTCGTCCGAATTGAGTTCTTCTGTACTCATTTTGTCCTATTGATGCTTCCAATCCACACTATTGGACATCAAAACGAAGAAACCCCCTTCCTCGTACATATATATATATGTGTATATATACTTTACTGGAGAGTTCATCTAACTACTCGCTCCCCAGAATTTGTCAAACTATTATTCAAAGCACTATTTTAATTGATGTCGCTAATAGTTCCCATTGACACCGATAGGTTAAGCTTTTCGTCTGGTCAGACCGTTCAGGGGTCCACCATTTTTAACAGACTTGTGAGCAGTGCTGGTCCTTAGGTAACACGGAACCACGGTTTTATAGACCCGTGAGAGAGGCAATATGTGTCACGGTTCAAATGCAAAAAACTCTCATTTCCCTACCACTAACAAGTTGCCTTTTTGAACTATTATAAAAAGGGTAAGAACAATGACGTAAAGTTTCTTGTCTTGCTGTACTATAGACGTGGAAGGACCGCATGTCCACCCACAGCAGACAAACCCCGGTTGTAACCTCTTNTGGGCGAATTATTACCAAATGAAAAAACTACCCTCGGCTTGAGGAACTATCATATTTTGGTCAGGACTAAATTGTTCCTACGGCTTTTCGGTATACTCTTTCACAAAAAGCTCAATAAAACTACCCAATACAAAGGTCTGCTGGACTCTTTCTTGTTACCTACTCAATAATGACATCCGAAATGAATTTTGTGAACATGTAGTAAAAATAATCCGATGGGGCAAATTAGGCTTCCTCGTGATTTCGATGCACACAGTGAAAAAACGAGGTGCCAACGCATTCCTCTATAAAACAGTCCAGTCTCTATGCGTGTAAGTCTCGTTGTAGCGTTGTAGGGCATAACAAAGAGCATTATTTATCAGTAATTATTCTGTCTGAACGGAGAATCTTTTTGTGTCGGACGAAGGAAATCAAATTATCCGGCCGCACAATCAGTATGGTTGCTG